GTTTCGTTCACCGCCAAAATCAACACCTCTCCCCTCAACTTAGGCCACTCACACGTCCCTTCCATCTGCTCGATGCACCGAGAGAATCACTCTCTCTCTCGGAGAGTGGCGTTAATTCAAGTTTTTAAAAATAATCTATCGATCCTTTATTATTTGATATGACGAATATGATGTGATCTGTAATCTAACCTAATCTATCCTAATTCTTAATATTTTATTCGTAGCTATTTATTGCACAGTCGTATATTTCGTATCACAAGTGAACGATTCTTAAATATCTTTACAATTAATATTTGGAAAAAAAAAAAAAAAGAAATATTTCATACGATAAATATTTCGCGTACGATCGAAAGTAATACCCAAAAATCCTTACAAATTGTACCTATATATTTTTATGTAACCTGCCTACCTACAAAAAAAAAAAATTTAATCGTTCAAATTTTAAAAAGAGAGAGAAAGAAAAAAGAATCAATCGATCCCTAATAAAATTCACGTCTCTCGATAAAATTAAAAATATTAATAATAATAATAATTTTTAATTCGGCTAATCGTGCTAATTCGGGGAGGGGGGCAAGATCGTAGGTGAAAAACTGAACTACGCTCATCGTGAAAACGGTCCATTTCCCCCCGCCCATGGAACCTGGTGGCGGCCGCTCTTCCATAAAATCCATGGATTATTTCAAGCTGTCAGCGCCGGGCTATCGGGCAACGCCGTTAATTAATGGACAACGCGTTAAATAATTCATACGTAACATTCGAACGTGGGTGCAATAAACGAGCGCGTAAAACTTGGGATTTGAGGACCCGAGGAAAAATCGTCCAACGATTGCGGCCTCCACCCTCCTTTTGCAAAAATCGGCATTATTTACGTAAGATCACACCCTCTTTCTATCCTCCGTCTACATCTACATAGCTTCGAATAGAAAATATCCTCTTCGTCGACGGGATCGAATTTGAGAAATCGAATCATAATCCCGCCATAAATAATATTACATAATCGATTTTATCGATTGATTAGAATCAATCTTGGGAGATCTTACTCTCAAAAAAAGAAACTGCGATCCTTTCTCGAATAGAAAATAATCGTAAAACAATTTCCCCCCTCCCCCGAAACGTACGTCGACCAATTAATCCGAGCCAAGCTTCCACAATTTCACGTCACCCGAAGCTAATCACGCAATTGAATCATCTTTCGTTTAACGCGGGGCCCGCTTAAGCCCGACTGAAATAAACGCCGCTCTAATCTCGCGTCAATTAATATCGACCTCGAAAGGGAGTCCACCACCACAAGGCGGCGGAGATAAACAGCCCTCGAGCGCCCCGCTGCCAACACCTCTGCCAACCCTCCCCCTTCCCCCCCCCACCTTGCGGCTCGTCTTCGACGACTTTGCGTCGTCGAGGACGGGAGGAGTCGCCTCCTCGGAAGGAGGGCTGCTCGAGGGTGAGAGGGTAAATCCTTTTTTCCCTCCCCCTCTTCCTCGTCTCTCTCTCTCTCTCTCTGTTCCTAGCCGAACGAGGAAGGAGTTCGAGGATGGAGACTGGTGCCATGAATCAAAATTAAAGTCGCTTTATCGTAAATTTCTCTCCCCTCCCCCTCCCCTCTCTTCTTCTCTCCCTCCCCTCCACCTTCCCTCGCTCGACTTCTCGCGGACTCTAAGCAGGGCAATTAGTCATTCTCCGCGGCTATGATAAAACATAAAAGTCCCTATCGCTACGTTGGCTCCACTACGTTCCTTCCTCCCCTCCACCTGGAAACTTCTTAAAGGGAACACCGCCGTTCGAATCTTTCGCGGCTTAACCCCTCTCGGATTTCGTATTTCGAGATCGGTTTCGAGAAGTTTGGGAAATGTTCGTTTTGCCTCTAAATTCTTTTCCTTCTTTTTCTCGAAAAAACGAATCTATTCGAAAAGAAAGAGACGAGGATTGAGATGTAAGTTTTTTTTTCCTTTTTTTTTTGGAATTTAAATACAAAATCGAAAAAAATAATTTATAACGAGATTCGTTCGAGATCTAATTCGATGCTCTTTTTAATATTCCCACGATCCAGTTGATTTCGAAGATTTAAAATTGTAATAATAATATAAAGAGTAAAGCACAAGAAGAAGAAAAGAGAAAACGGTTCTCCCTCCCGCCCCTATTTTCAACCATCACCAATCTTCGAATCGTCGTTTAAACCTTGCATAAGTTTCCCATTCACAATTCGTTCACGTGCCAATATAAGTCGTTGCTGGTTGATTCAATGTCCAATTCGTCCGCTGGACTGTGGGTCGTCCATATGGGTTAACTATACTGGGTGATTTTATAGTAATGTAGTTCGAGAGCACTCGTAGTGCTCCAGTCTTTCCATTGATTAACGCACGGATACGGATAAGTCGTCGTTGATTCAATTTCCAGATTTCCAGCGTCGAACTGGATCAACTATCCACAGTTCCTTATACCGGGTGACTTTGTAGCAATATGATCAGCAAAATCAAGACCTCTTCATTC